AAAGAATGTCGACGAATAAATGATTGACCAAAATGGAAAGAAGCGATACAAGCAGAGCTAAATTCATTAGCTAAACGTGAAGTATTTGGACCCGTAGTCCAGACACCTGAGAGTGTTAATCCTGTTGGGTACAAATGGGTGTTTGTATGAAAGCGTAATGAGAAAAATGAAATCGTGAGATACAAAGCTCGATTAGTAGCTCAAGGTTTCTCACAAAGACCTGGTATTGATTATGAGGAAACATACTCCCCTGTGATTGATGCACCTACTTTTAGATTCATAATACATTTGGCAGTCACAGAAAGATTGCATATGCATCTAATGGACGTGATTACAGTATATTTATATGGATCACTAGATAGTGATATTTATATGAAAATCCCAGAATGATTTAAAATGCCTGAAACAAAACCACGTAATATATACTCGATAAAATTACAACGATCCTTGTATAGATTAAAGCAATCTGGACGAATGTGGTATAATCACCTTAGCGATTACTTGCTCAAAGAAGGGTATGTGAACAGTCATATTTGTCCATGCATTTTTATTAACAAATCAGAATCTGGTTTTGTTATTGTTGCAGTATATGTTGATAATCTGAATCTTGTGGGAACCTTGGACGAGATAAAAAAGACGGCCATTTATTTAAAGAAAGAATTCGAAATGAAAGATCTCGGAAAGACAAAATTCTGCCTTGGGCTGCACGTTGAACATTTTTCGAGCGGTATTCTCATCCATCAATCAACATATACAGAAAAGATTCTGAAACGCTTTCATATGGATAAAGCCTATCCATTGAGCTCTCCAATGGTTGTCCGATCACTTGACATCAAGAAAGATCATTTTCGTCCTCGCGAGGATGGTGAAGAACTCTTTGGTCCTGAAGTGCCCTATCTTAGTGCGATTGGTGCTCTTTTGTATCTTGCAAATTGCACAAAACCTGATATAATTTTTCCAGTCAATTTATTAGCACGGTACAGTTCTGCACCAACTCGCAAACATTGGAATGGAATCAAGCACAAACTACGATATCTTCGTGGCACAACTGATATGGGCTTGTTTTATTCGAAGGCACCAAATTCTCCATTAGTTGGATATGCAGATGCCAGCTATCTCTCTGACCTACATAAAGCCTATTCACAAACAGGATATGTGTTTACCTGTGGCGGCACAACTATATCATGGCGATCTATGAAACAGACAATGATTGCCACTTCTTCAAATCATTCTAAGATACTCGCAATTCATGAGGCAAATAGGGAATGTTTTTGGTTAAGATCAATGATCCAACATATTCGAATAACATGTGGTCTCTCATCAATAAAAGAAAGTCCAACAGTATTGTATGAAGATAATGCGGCATGCATTGTATAGATGAAAGAAGGGTATATTAAAAGTGGCATGACCAAGCACATCTCACTAAAATTCTTTTATGCACATGAACTCTAGAAAAAGGGTGATATTGATATTCAGAAGATACGTTCATGTGAAAATCTAGCAGATTTATTCACTAAAACGCTTCAAACTACAGCATTCAAGAAGCTGGTGCACAACATTGGAATGCGTCAACTAAAGGATCTTCAGGGTTGATCTAATGAGGGGGAGCAATTGATCAGAGAGGTATTGGCATACTGTACTCTTTTTCCTTCGTCCAGGTTTTGTCCCACTGGGTTTTCCTTACAAGGTTTTAATGAGGCAGTTTTAATCTATGCAATACCATTTTCAGATACATAAGAATATTGTACTCTTTTCCTTCGCTAGGGTTTTGTCCGACTGGGTTTTCCTTAGTAAGGTTTTAACGAGGCATATTCTTAGTGTAGTATTGTGGGCCCCAAGGGGGAGTGTTATGTATATAATGATATGGGGCCTACAATATATTATGTCATCCATGACATCAAGGCTTGAGGCTTACAAAGGAAGATTGCAGCAGTGGCTTCTCAGGGAAGCCAATCTTTGTGCCTATATATAAGGCCATGCATATGTACTCTTAATACATAATGGAATACAAGTTTTTCATTCCTCTCTCCTACCCTCTTTTTCGTTCTCTCTCTTTCTCTCTCCCCCTCTCTTTGTGTGAAAGTTTATTCTATTTCCATAATACATATTATTCTATAGAGATATATATATACAAATATTTATTATACTTGGATATAAAAAGGGCACGAAAGCACTGGGTACGCCTCTTGACACTAACACCCCCAACAGGAGTACCAAGCTTCGAACTAGAAAGCAAGGTTTCACGTAAGTGGATAATTAAAACATGTTTGGCATCTTCATAACTTGGAACAAACTTTTTTTCCACCGAAAGATCAAATAGTATTCAAAATTGAGCTGACAAAAAACTCAATCATGCCAAACTAACTAATAAGAGCATCTTCAATGGGGCTCTCATTTGGGCTGCCAATTCAAAATATTGCAAGTAGGCTTAAAAATGAGCTCTCCAATGTATTGCTTTTTGGGCCGTTACTTTTTAACTTTGCTATTTCTTATGCCAATTGTAGCAAAACAAATAACAATTGCTATATGGGCTGGGGCTGCAAAAAAGATGGGACCGGCTCCAATTTTGCACCATGTATGTTGCTTGCATAGAATAGCTATCAAATGGGTAAAAAAAATTTCTTTCAAAAAAGTTATATATATATGTATATATATAACGTACAAGTTAGAAACTACTAAATAGTACTGATCTCCAAAGCATCTTGTGATATCCCTGGCCTTCCACGCCTCTTAAATATTGGATATATATACCTTCTGAATATATGTATTTGTACTTGAAAGGTGTAAACATATATATATATATATATATATTTTGGTAAAGGTAAAATTATTAAACAACATTTTCAATAATATGAAATTGAAAAAAATAATCATGCTCAGTGTGTTTTCATGTTGATATTAATCTAGAATACTAGCAGGAACAGAGTGATTAAGACCATTTTTTTTCCTCATTATTTGCACAAAAATATAATTATGAGCAGTTACATTTTTATTGAGACACTCAACAAAGCATTTCAAATTCTCAAATTGTACATAACTACCATACCGAGTTATTGTTTATACAAAGAAAAACAAACAAATCAGTAGCTTAATGCCAAACCTTGGCTCTTTTATAATACTACTCTCTATGGATCTTTCTTAGTTCTCAGTAAAAATAAAACAAAAATATATAACAATATAGCAATTTGTGAACATAAGTTACATAAACCGTGGCATGATAATCTGGTTGAAGGAGGAGCCATGCATAATAAAAAAAGAAAGGTCAAATGTTTTTATTTATTTTTAATAAGGCAAACAAGCTAAATAAAATACAAACACACTGTTTAGAGTTGAAAACAAGAATGGGGAGGCAATTGGGGGGCTGAAATAATTATTATTAAAATATTTTATTTTTTAATAATAATATAATCAAGGGTAAAGTACATTAACACCCCTTGAGGTTTGCTAAAAGGACAGACAAATGAAACTTAGCCTATTTTGGGACAAAGACACCCCCTCAAGTTTGATACACTTACCAAAGACACCCCAATGGTAATGAATTGACATTTTTGCCCTTTAACTTTTAAATTGACTAATTTAAATGTTAAAATGACCTTTCTAACCTTACTAATCTATTTCTTTCCTTTTCTCTTCTCTCTCGGTTCTCTCCTCCTGCAACACCAACACACATATAGACACACACACATATATATACACACATATAGACACACACACACATATATATAGACACACATATATATAGACACATACACACATATATATATCCACACATATACACATATATATCCACACACATATGTGTGTGTGTGTATACAGATACAAACATATATATATCCACGCATACAAGGCGGCGACGGGCGGCAACGAGCTGTCGTCAAGGAGAATAACACTGGTGAATTAGATGATGATGATGTCGTCGGTGGCAGAGGTGTCGACGGTGGTTGTAACAGAGGCGGCGACGGTGGTTGCAACAAAGGCGCTGACGGTGGTTTTCAGATCTGCAAATCGCGTGGACTTCACGCGCCTACAATCCTCTTCTTCCTTCAATACCAACTGCAGCCGCCGCCGCCACAACACCCACCACCACCACTACCGCCACACAATTGGCTTCGCTCCCACACCCCTATATACCAGCATCATCACCGGACCACCACCACCGACCACCACTCGTTTCAACACCATCCCACCTGAAAATTAACACCCAAAAGCCATACCCAATTTTCTTTTTCTGTGTTTATATATATATATACCACTCGTTTCATATATATACACCGAAGAAATTTGTTGTGTTGTTCTTTCTTGGTCTATTTTCTTTCTTTGCGGCTGTGTATAGAGAGAGAGTGTGCCTATTCTTTGTGGCTGTGTATAGAGAGAGAAAGACAATGTATTTTAGAGAGAGAGAAACGCTGTATTTTAGAGAGAGGGGGCAAGGGTAATTTAGTCATTTAATTATTTTGATATTTTATAATTATAATTAATTAAATAGTGAAGGGTAAAATTGACTTTTCACGGAATTTTAAGCTCTGTTTGGATTGTAAATTTGATAAGGGGGTTTCTTTGTCCCAAAATAGCCTAATTTTCATCTGAGTGTCCTTTTATCAAACCTCAGGGGGTGTTAGTGTACTTTACCCTATAATCAAATATAATATACATATATATATATAAATTCCCAAAAAAAAAAATTTTAAATATATATATTATTTTGCTTCATCTCTCTTTTTTTTTTTTTTTTTTTTTTTTTTTTGGTCCTTTTTTGACAAGATATTTTAAATTTTTGCTTCTTTTTAATTAGGTTTAATTTTAGTTTCCTTTTAAAGTCTACAGCTTGACTTGAAATGTGTCTAATATTTATATTATTGATACAAATATGAATTGTGAAAATGGTAGTTGAAAAAAAATGATGATTGCATCAAAAAATAACATTTTGCATGAAATGTACCATTAGAACAGAATTGCTAAAATGTAAACACTACAGCACTTGTCAAAATATAAATTCGACGTGTGAAAATGACTCTTAGCATTGGAGATGGGTAAAAAATTTGGGCCTCTCAAACTCAAAATATGAGAGTTGAGTAAAAAATAAGTAATATTTTCTTTCACAACGATTGCCAAACCCCATTCGAATATTAGTGCAATACCTCCTATCCACCATATTACAAATTTCTTTCACCCAGATGTCCACACTAACTCATAAAAACAGTAAATAGCACACGTTTCCGACATCGGACACCGAAACCATAATTCTCCATCTCAAGGGAGCTATAATCTGGAAGATTGGATGCTCAATTAGATCAGTAGAAAGGATTCACGGATATCCATAACCTTTACCAGGAAAGCAAAAAAAAAAAAAAAAAAAAAAAAAAAATTGATCGAAGATTAAGATTCAAACCAAATCAATCTCGCTAGAGTAGCAAAGGCTATGTCTTTAACAAAAACGCGCTGAAAGTATACGCAGACTCGAACAGAATAGCAGTCAAAATTACCAATTTATAGATATCAATAAGCAACGTAACAAGACACCTAGGTGTTGGTTGCTCTAGTGTATATCTGCTGGCTTGCATGAGCAGACACCATCCTGATCGAACCTCTAGCCATCAATTCTCTTATTGCCTTCCTTGCAAGTGATCCGTTGACCTGAGAAATTTATTCAAAATTGGAAGTATTTAAGTTTTAGATTAATGCGGGAAAGAAATTCTAATCCACACCAAAGATTAACAATAACAAGAACAATAAACAAGTCAACCAAAACATATTAATGAATATGCCAAATCAAATATTTCAAATGGTTATAGCCAAACAAACATCAAGCTTAGGAAAAATTGAGCAATGGATGTGCCTGTAACGACCAACAAGGTACTAGGCCCTGCATTTAGATGGAGTAGCTTACTGTACTGTGGTCAAACATAACCGAATCATATGTAACATGAAGGTCATCACCTAGTGTTGATCCCACAATCAGATTAGAAGAATGACCAGGACACAAACCCAACTTTGACATTATTTTGTATAAAGCGATTAATTCTCAAACTCAAACACCATCTCACATACATACATGCAAATTCAAATTTTTACAATTAGACTAAGAAATCAATCGAGGCACACGAAACATGTATTTCCAAATAATTGCTAAACCAATGACAATCCAGTCAAGTAAAAAAACTCAGGCAGGAGGTGTGACCGTGTGTGACCACAACATTTGGCGTCAGCAACACTAGATCGTCGGAATCAATTTATATTCTAATATAAATCTAGATACTCGCATGGATGGACAGAACATTTTTTTCAATTCATAAATTTTTGAATGAAGGATTGGTGGTCAAAAACAATCTTACTAATGAATAAATAACCAGTACGATGCACATAAAGTGTCAATTAGTGGAAATCTAATTTCATTCCATATGTCATACACATGAAATTTCAATGTATGGGAAACTAGTTTGGCCAGAGGGATTGAGTAGCATCTTCTAAATTCTACGCGAACAATTAGTAGGAGCGGAGCTTAGAGCCTTCATTTTAAGAATTGCCTTCTTACGTATATATAATCTCAGTAACTCATCTCATCTATATGTCGCTTTCAGCATGTTTGGTCTTACTTTGCCTTGAAAATCAAAGCGTACAACTAAAATTACATTGATTAAATTATTTTATTTTGTTCTTTTTCACTATTAACAATATGCAGCTATAACACTAAGAACTTTGGCACACACTTGCAGCACTATTAATACACAAGCCAAAGTACCTAACACATCTCTTAGTTGCCAACTTCAAATACAAATCCAGGCTTGCCTTGGCCAACTGTCAAGATTTTAAGATGCCTCAACACAATTTTTCCATCAAGTAGAGTTTATATTTTGATGTGTTAGAATTTATACTCCAAGTTTAAGAAATCATTATATTATCCCAATTCTTACGCAAGGACCTAGTTCACGGATGAGGTGATAGAAGTGTCTTCCCGGACAGACAAACTACTCAACCAAAAAAAACGTACTATCACAATCCATCTGAAGTTTGCTATAAATGTGTAAAGAACTGAACACAGTCAAAGACCCCCTCCTTATCCTTACCCAAAGCTCTTAAATACTTTCCTACTCCATCCGTCTCTCTTTTGAAACCCGGGCTTGCCTAGAATGACTTACCTACCAGACAAAGAGACAGAAAAGAAGAAATCTTATGCCCTGCCTACATGTAGAGAAGTATTTTAATTAAATCATAACCTTTATTGATTTATGACTAATCATATATTCTAGAACCAATTTTCTTGCCAACATTAACCACCAATCTAACATAACCTTTATTTATTCAAGGGAAAAAAATGCCCTAATTCCTCTAAACTATTAACTCTACTTAAATCTAGGGTCTTTTGCAGTCCATCCCAAATGTCATTAAAAACATCATAATAAGACAGTCTTAATTTTTTGGGAGTTTAGTCCTAGAAGTGTAGAGGGGGAGGAGTCACCTCCGGAAGTAACCTATCCTTTGTGATTAGAGATCCCATGAAGAAGGTTTAAAGGGTAGAAACAATCTGTACAGCGTGACTCATTTACATTATCTTTTTAGGAAGTTTCTCATGAAGATTTTCTCTCCTACCCATCCCTATGGCACTAATGTTGTTTAATGTGACATTAGGAAGGACAATGCCCTGAATGAGCCTGTACCCTTGTTTTTTTTTTGATAAGTAAATGAGCCTGTTCCTGTAGAACTCACCTAAGTGAGAGTGGTTGTGAGGCGGCAACCATAACAATTGGGCTATTCGCTAGCAACTCTCACGAAAATCAAGATGCAAGTGCATGGCCATTAATAAAGCTAACCCGCAAACCAAGTCAATAATCAATACTGTGTGTGATATGCTGAAGTTTAGTCTAGACCTTCAAATGGAGAATATTAATACGAAGTGTAGGTTCAAACCCAGAAGGTACCTACACCAATTACATGGTATAAAGCTGCCCTAACTCTTCTTTATATATATATTGGTATAAAGTTGCCTTAACTTTTTCTCTCTCTATATACGTGTGCAATAATTTTTTAGAGGTTTGTAAACCTTGTGGGGATTGTTGGTATTGGTAAGGTTTCCTAACCTATTCATTAAGTGACCTGATTTTCTGCTTATTTTTATTAACGTTCACTAACTAATATTTTTCTTGTGTTGATTTTTATTAAACGTTAAGTACTAAATATCTTCCTTATCAGTTTCTTCCAAATTGTTGGAAGTTGTAGACACTAAAATTTTAATGAACTTTTGTTTTGACAAATTGACCCATTAAATATGGGTCTAATGTTTAATTAAGTTATTTAATTGGCCCAAACTTGGTCCACTTTAATTATTTAATTAGCCCGGCCCAGATGGTTAAATAAAAAGATAATTTTTCCTAAAAAAATATATTTGGAATAATTATTTTTAAGGATAATTATTATAATCTAACCGGCCCGGCTCAGTTATGATTTTATCTTTATCAGGAGAAGACACGTGTCATCATCCTATGAATCCAAGAAGCCTATAAATAAAGGCATGGAGGAAGAAGGAAGGGACACAAATTCAAAATTCAGAAATTCAGAATTCCAGAGAGAAATACAGAAACTCTGCCAATACTCATCCCCAACATCCAAAACCAATGGCGAAGAACACCAAGCACCTCAAATTATGTCATTCTTCATCAAATTTTACGGTGATCAACAACAAGCATATCAAATGGTACCGTTCTTCATCCAAATTCCACGGTGATTCAAGATCAAGCTCGTGCAGCCCTTGGATCCAACCAACAAAAAGGAGATCAAATCAGAGGACCTTATTCTTTGTAAAGAATATTACAGATGGTTGTACTCCAATTTTTCCAAATTAATAAAATATTATTTTTGCTCCCTATTTTGTTCTTATTTGCAGACTACAAAATTTGTGTGTACAAATTTCTGGCACGCCCGGTGGGACATCCTTTGCCTCTTATCTCTTTCTCCTACCATTAAGTTTCTTCTCTGTCAGATTTTATGGCTCCCCCTAAGACTCAGACAGATAAGAAAGCCCAAAAGAACATCGTTACTGCAAAGGTCGACGCCAAAGCCACCATGAAAAGTGGCACGAAGGCCAAATCAAGTGAAGGAAGTACATTGGCAGGCCTATGACACGTAGCAAGTCCTAGGCAATCGCGTCATCCAAACATCAGCAAGACTTGGTGAAAACCAATCCTGCAAAGCCGGCGAACAACCTCAACATGTCAAGAACCCTGACGTTGTTCCAGAGGAGATTCCGCCACCAGATTTACCTCATTCCATCTATGATGTTCACTCTAATGTCGGTTCACCCCCAGAGTCACCACGTCAGACTTCGGAGCAATCAATCACTTTAAGGAACGTTAACTCTCAAGGCCTATCATACTCAGATGTGGTCGTTGCTATGATGACTGGAGCTACCACAGTAGAGGAACAACTAGCAACTATGGCTCGTTCCATTGAGAACCTCACAAAGACTGTTGAAGAAAAGGACTTGCAAATCGCTACACTGATGAACAAATTAGAAGTTCAGACCTTCGATGAATCACCAGTGCCGTCTGGGAATCCTACAGCTTCCACAGCAATGCCATCTGAGAATCCTACATCTTCCACAGCAGTGCCGTCTGGGAATCCAAATTCTACGGCACAAGGTACTCGCACGGAGGACCCCAGACAGACGCCCGTGACAGAACAGGTGGTTGGTCAAACCAATCATGCTTCTTCAGTCTCTTCATTATTTGTCAAACAATTACAAGATATGATACTGAATACAATCCGAGCCCAATACAGAGGCGTCTCACAGAGCACTCTCATGTACTCGAAGCCCTATACAAGAAAAATCAATAGTATGAGGATTCATGTAGGATACCAACCTCCGAAGATTCAGCAATTTGACGAAAAAGGCAACCCCAAGCAACACATTGCCCATTTTGTCGAGACTTGCAACAATGCCAGAACTGATGGGGACTTACTAGTTAAACAGTTTATACACCGACCTAAAGTCAGAATCAATTGATAGTTGGGACCAAATAGAATGAGAATTCTTGAACAGGTTCTATAACACTCGTCGTACTGTTAGTATGATAGAATTGACTAACACGAAGCAATGGAAGGATGAGCCTGTAATTGACTACATTAATCGGTGGCGAGCACTCAGTCTTTGACTGCAAGGACCGATTGTCGGAAATCTCTGTTGTGGAAATGTATATGCAGAGAATGCATTGGGGCTTTCTTTACATTCTCCAAGGCATAAAACCTCGCACATTCGAAGAATTGGCTACGCGTGCCATGACATGGAGATTAATATAAAATCCCATGACGGCAAAAGTCCAGTGGCCATCGAACCACTCAAGGATAAGAAAGGCTGGAAGAAGAGCGACAAGTCTTCAAGAACACTGCTAAAGAATCCATGACTATCTCAACTACCCTAGTCAAGATATCTATTAAAGATAACAAGAAAGATGATAAAAAGTCTCACCAGTTTCAAGAGGGGGAAAGATGGCGTCCTACGCTAAAGAAATTAGAGAAGAAGGAATACCCATTCCCCGATTCCGATGTTCCTAGCATATTGGAATGCTTACTCGAAAGTAAAATTATAGAACTCCCTGAATGCAAACGCCCTCAAGAGATGGGACGTGTTAATGACCCAAAAT